AAAAAAAGGAATCTAGCCGTAGAAAAGAAAATATAAAGAACAAACGTTTTATATTGTGGTCATTTGTTGTACACTATTTAATTGAAGCATCACTCAGAAAAAATGACAATGACAATAATAATAAAAACTAAAGATGGAACAACTGAACCATTGACAGTTTATCTTAAAAACGTACTGAAATGGTTGATTAATTAATCGTCTAAACCATTGTGAATACATTTTATGTTTTTTGTTTGATTAAGCAACTCATCATTTCAGTAGATACCGTATCCTTTATACAGCTGCTATTTTACGCAATTTATTCTGAAGGAAAAAACAACCTTGTGATTTAATACTTCCGGTATTAGATCCGTTTGTTTTTCAGAATAAAACTGTCCACAGCTTGTCTTCTCTAATCCTGCAGAAACTCCGACATGTCATTGTTTTAGATCACGTCTTTAAAACTCTTCATTAGATGTGGCTGCCATCAGTTTGGATGGAATTAGAGGCAAAAATTTTATTTTTTCAAGGGTGCTCGAGGATCTTGGCTATAAAGAAGTTTCAGGGAATTTGTTACCAATACACACTCTAATACATTAAATATTGTGTAGGACTTATATTATGCCATGACACATTTTTGTTTCACAAGTGGGAAATCACAGAGTGCTCTAGATTTGGAGCTGTTTGTGCTCCTGTCTGTGATGTTTTGATAAGGTGAACCTTGATAGTCTGTACCTCATGAGGGTAAAGGGCATGTTGTCATTACTTATGTTGATAGACTGCAATCTGTTCCCTCACATTTGATATAATGCTAACATGTCTCTACTGTATTTCAAACTTTTTAGATCGCGTGTACATTAGACCAAGAATCTCCTCTGTTGAAAATGTTGTAATAAATAATGTCAAGTATAGACAACTAAGGCTCATTGACTTCATTCATTTATTCACTGATTTTAAAGTTCAGCCATCTTTCATCAGACGTCCGTGATTTGTCTTCCTCGATGGATAGTTTATATTTACATTTAATTATTTGGCAGATGCTTTTTATCCAAAGCAACTTACAACTGAGGGACGACACTAAACCTTCTGTAGCCGTAATATGTAATAAGTGTAAAATCTGTTCAATAAGACAAAGCGTCCTAGTTACGATAGTGGCAGTATATTGCAGTGCGTAAATTCTCATCACATGGATCAGCTTACAAATCAATTTAACATATCTTGGTTGTACAACTTACCCTATGTCTACTTAAATAGTTCACCCAAAAATGAAAATTCATTAATTATCTACTCATGACTATGTTATAGTTCCATTCTTTGCAATAACAAATAGGTATCCACTCCTCTACTTTAAAGTATTTATCAATCTGTACTTATTAGTTTTTCTTTTGCCTGATTTTAAACTTGTTTTTTTAAATACATTTACATTGACTTTCAGCAGTAGCAACTCTAATGTTGTTGCTTTCTCTTGTACCATGACAGTAAGCTTCCTATTCTTCTATATTCTATTCTTTGATTAGCATTATTGAATTGTTCCAAAACTCAACCTGCTGCTTTGCATAATGTTTTACCATTAATAATGAAATAGATCGTAACCATTGGGGACACCAAAGTGATGGGGCAGTTGACCATCAATGACTTTATGTGATATGTTTTTACCATTGCTGTCTATATGCTCATTATGTCATAGGAGTGCGTGAGTGTTTGCCTCCCCCTGCCCGCTTTACCCTCCCAGAGAGAAAGAAAACCAAAAAGAATTGTCTTGGATTTTTATTAAAAAGAGTCAATCCACAGTAGTTCAGAGTTTGGCACCATCAATATAAAAACATGTTAAATCAAAAATAAAGTGTACACCCCAAATTAGCATTAAACAAAATGCCTGAATAAAAAGGGATAAATAAAAAAATACAAACATTTATGTAATTAAAATGCATTTCACTTGGAAATAATGGCGATTTTTTTACCCCATTCATTTTTGAAGCAAGAGTCTAACTTTTGGTCAGTCAGCTTTGGCTCTATAGATTGTAGATGCGCTACAAGGCAATGTTTTTAACACACTCAAAGGTAACAGTGCTTATCTTTTTAAGAAGGTGTGCAGTTTTTATTTGTAAATCAAAGAGTTATTAGTGACCAGTTGATCTGTTCATATCAAGAGGGACAGGACACTTTTACAACTGTTACCCCCTTCATTATAAAGAATACAAAATGCAGTCTACAATTAGTCTACCTTAATGTCTTCTGTGTACACGTTAGTCACAAAAAGACTCATAAATTGTGGTAAGTACGTCAAATGCGGCTACAGATATCATCAGGAGTTTGTAGTGGTGAGTTCAGTTTTGTTCAAAAAGAAGAGGATTGTAATGGAATGTTCTGAAATCAAATGTATCAAATGAAGTCAAAAAAGTACCAATGCAACAGTAAAAATACACAACAATACTGCATCTGGTGGTGTGTGTGTGTGTGTGTGGTAGGGTTTGGGTTGGAGGTGATAAAGCAGCAGGACTTGTGCGCTGATAGACTTGTGTCATTTGATTCAGAAATCCATGTTTTTGGTGAAGAATAGCAGATCACAACATGAACAGTGGTAAAAGTCTTTGAACAGGCACAGTTGGTTGGTGTAGAAAAGTCTTTGTTAAGGCACTAAAATTTAGTGGTGGTGGTGGGAGGGGGGGGGGGGGGGGCTTTCAGGCACAAATCTAATGGAGAGGTCTTTACATGACAGCAGGAGGAGGCTTCCATCCTGACAGGGGTCTCGCGTTTCCTCATTCACTCCCACTCCTTCCGTCTCTACTCTGTGGGGCTTTGAGCATCTGCGAGCAGCTCGGGCCTCAAGCATTCGATTGGACACTGGATGTTCTGGATGACAGGAAAGAGGGAGGGGCAAGAAGAGAAGGAAAGGAGACGAGGATAGGATTAGTTTTGACTGGATCTACAGCAACTTCTATATTTTGTATTGGAGAGAGACAGGATTTAATACATTTTAATCAAAATTTTTTTAAACTAAAATGTTTTAAATGGATATCCTTGTTATTGGTTAAAGTATCATATACTGTATATCAGAGGTTTCACTAGTTGACACTGTACATCGTTGTCGACCAGTCGTTAACTGCAGTTTAGCACAGTGCAGTAATACAGCAGTGGCAGTGCATCTCCAGCAGATATCCAGCAGGGAGTGCTGTTGTTGTTGAAAACTAGTTGACAAAGGCCTAGTTGTGATGTGTGAAGTTAATGCTGGGGATTAACTACATGTAGGCATCATGGCTGCCTCTAATATTCTGCCTCCATTTGGTGCATCGATTATGAACGTGAAATTAACATGATGTGTCCGTGGGATACCGTACACATCCAATATGGAATAACGATTTTGCATGTGTGTTTTGACGAGCCATTTCTCTTTACACTAACCATTTCTGTTAGTAGGTCATGTTAGTATTAATGCAATTGTTGTTAATTATATTAAACTAAACAATTGTGAAAGTTATGCCACCTGTGGACAAACACAATAAGGGTCAGACAATTAAATACCTGTTGTAATTACTTGACTTATTGCCTACTTTTTGGGAGTATTTGACCCCAACTACTTTAATGCAGTAGTCGTAAATACCCTACTGTACATACATGATTGTGTTGATCTCGTACTAAATATCACTTAGCTTTTTTCTCCATCTACAATAGTTTAGCAGAATAAAAAATGCAACAATATTAGACATCAAATTCAAAGTGAGCCACTGACCAGTTTGCGTAGAGCGTTTTCTCTGTACCGGTCGAAGACTTCTGCGCTGACAGGTTGCAGGAGGTCAGCGTCTACATCCGTCTGTGTACCTGGCCTTCTGCAGTTCTCACAACGCCAGCCCTACAGAAAGATGAACGCACACACGCAAATACTCAGGCCACATGGTTTCCATCATGCTACGCAACTGAATGCACAGACAGAGAGGCAGACAAACAGAGTATCTGCCAATATTTTCTGGTATGAACGCTCAGAAAACACACACATGCACAGTGTTACCCACCTGTTGTCCTCCAGAGCAGGTACAGGTACAGATGGCCCCCATATATTCTTTCTGCCACTGGTCTCCCACACGGTACATTTTTCCATTGTCATAACATGTCGACTCATCTGGAGGGTGAAAGAAGCATATTCAAATTGTTGCCTGCTGAAGATCTAGAAGTTTGAGTTACGTTAAAAATGGGCTGGAGTAAGTTAATGAAAACCATAAGGTGTGTTCAGTCTGAGTGTGAACTGGGCAGAAGTTATTGCCAGCAGGGATATGTAGCGTGTAGTGTGTTTACTTACGGGGTTCACACTTGAATTCTCCTTTGCCATTTCCCATGCAGGTGCAGCTCATCATGTGACCATTTTCCACGCGGCGATCCCACTTTTCTCCGATGCGATAGTTGTTGCCGTTGTCGTGACACCACTCTGGATGAGGAGAAGAAGCAGGGAGAGGGAAAGAAAGAGGGGGAGGAGAGTGCGAAGCAAGGGGGTGAAGATAGAAATACATGAGGAAGAGATGTAGAAGTGAGGAGATAATAAATTGGAGATGAAGAATAGAGCAAAGAAGGAATAAAATGAAGGAAGGGGTGTGAGAGAAGTTCATTAGTTTAGGTAAAGAGCAGACAGACATCACCTGGAGTGACACTGCAGTGACAGATTCAAAACATTCATCTGATTTCAACACAGTGTAGTACAAATTACAGTGTCTATGAAACACAATCAAAACTAGGCATTCATCTTCACTGTGCAAAATACATTTCAGACATCAGATAAAGACAAACTTCAGAACAGTCACAGAGTTTCGCTGGTTTCCACTTGAAATTGCAAGTTCTCTCAGTTGGAGATAAACAGAGACGTACAGACAGTGTGCAGACCTAAAACCTACGCAGATGAATGATGATGAGCTCAGTTTCTGGTATTGTCGTGTTAGCTATGAAGACAATACAAAAAAAACTGAGGCGGAGGTTAGCTATTTCGCTGACATACACATATGTGTGACTGGACCCTTACTGTGAAGTTTTCACAGATTATAGAGATATATCATTTAGGCCAGTATGAGCAAACCACAGACACAACTGCTTCAGTAACCATGAAGCAGTTCAACTGGTTGAAACATGTTATACATTGCACAGAAAACATTTTCTCCACAATGTATTTATGTAGAAAATAGTTGATTTAGAAAAGATTGGTTGCTCACACTGAGATCGTATTACTGCATGATGCTGCACATAGAACATGAACTGACCAATTCTATGGCTTCAGCACCACAATAGTTAAGGAATTTATAATATGTATAATGTAAAATATGCTTATTAATAAATAAAGTATTTAATGAATCAGTCCATCTTATGACTTAATGCTCATTAAGCAAGTCTTTTGAGTTTGTGCTCATTAAATAATTCTCTCTTATAAATTCCTTTTGTGTAAATCACATAGAATTATTGCACTTTTAATTCCATGTTGTGTATTTGGGTGTTATAGCAAAGCATGCAGGGTTGGTGTTATTAAGCCACTCACTGGATGAATCACATCTAAAATGACCACTGCCCAGGCCGAGACAGTGGCACCACAGCTTGAAACCCGTCTCAGACATGCGCTCCCACTCGGAGCCCAGCTCGTGATAGGTGTGTGTGAACGTGTCGTAACACACGTCCCGGTTGGCGGTAATGGGAATGTCACCTGGAACTAAGGGAGGGAAGAAAAATATGTTTAGAAAGGACTACATTGCGTATATATATATATTTAAATACATACTATTCATGGTAAGGATTGTTTTTCACAGTATTATGAATGCATGTCAAAGTCAAGCTTATTGAGCTGAATGAAAAATTATGCTTTTGTGGACTGTACCGGCATTGCCAACGGTTACGACTTCCTCCAGAACCTTCTCTTTAGCCCCGCCCCTCATGGCCTCCACCAAAACATTGTAGGACGCTCCAGATGTCAGGCCAATCAGTGTGGCGCTGTTCGAAGTGCCAGGAAGACGCATCTATATGGAGGAGGTCAAAGTTAATGAGGGGTCTTTACTTTTCCAGCAGTAAATATATGTGCATGTGTGTGTTTGTCTAGTGTGTGTGTGTGTGTGTGTGTGTGTACCTGGAAGCCCCGCTCCTCCATGTGAGTAATGGGATTACAGGACACCTCATACTCTGAGGTCTGAGGAATGGGCTGCCAGGAGATGGCTGTGATTGTCTGTGCTTCCTGGGGCAGCTCCGTCTCGTTGTCGGGGAAACCGAATGCGAGACCAGGCAGAGGACCGTCGCTCACCTACGACATCAAACACACAGCGTACAGACACCGTGAAATCGTGACATCACTGAGGACAAGACAGTGACATTGACATTTTGACAGAAGAAATTAAATTAAAGGTTCAACAATTTATTGGCTACCCCACAAAATGTAATATTTCTCAATGAGGGGAGCTGAGAACTTTCAATCAGTTTCTTGCGGCTCGTTGATTTGGTTTTAGCTTCAACTCT